TGGTTGCTGTTGGTTGCTGTTGGATGCTGTTGGATGCTGTTGGTTGCTGTTGGTTGCTGTTTGTCAAATAGTTGTGCCGAAAGAGACAGAAGAAATTAGATGTCCGGACAGCAAAGATCAAATTTGCCCCAAGGAACTCAAGGCCCCTGTTCAGCAGAAAGTAGTCTAATATCATCCCCCCTTTCCTCTATCCTCTTTTTCTCCTATCTAGTGTTAGGAGGTTGAAAGGGTGGGAGAAGAGGGGTGGAGAAGGGTCAAAGAGAAGAGACCCCCACAAAGTAGCCTAAAGTCAGGCTACAGTGTTTTTTGCAATATTTTGCTTGCCTGATATAGTCTTGGTATTCCAGGCAGTCTCTAGTCTCTAGTTAGAGACACCGTGGTTTCACAGCACTTGTCTGAAAGTCTTTCATGGCTTCTTTTAGAACCTATGTTGTGACTGTTCTTTTGAACGTTTTGACTTTCATTTGACTTTGTTTCCTTTCCAACTGTACCAAGGTTTCCATAACGACAGGGACTCTCTAATGCAAAGAACTCTGCCTTTGTTGGGATGTCTGTTTAGGTGAGAGATGGGGATTAGACTATTGATCCTTGTCTGCCCCTTCTACTTAGCTGCCAAATAAAAGCTATTATAGGGAAAGAAAGGGCAAGCCCACAGGAAGTAGTAACATTTCTAAATAACAGATGCTCCTGTGTATATTGTGCTGGCACACACACACACACACACACACACACACACACCCCGCACTGTTCCTGGCCCTTAGATTCCCATTCACACCCATCCATCTCATCTCTACCTCCTCTGTTCCCTGGTTCACATCAGAATTCAGGAGATTGATGTTATAGCTCAGTGTTCACCTGTTTTACTTAGACCAACTGATTGTCACATTAGTCCATGTACTGTTTACTTTCTGTTGCTAGGGCCTTGGGCATACTAAACACATGTTCTACCACTGAGTTGCACCCCGACTATTCACTCACTTAAGCCTTGCCTTCTCCCTGTCTTCGGCTTACATTGTGACGCTTGAACCGGCTTCCCTTTCTTTGTATATTATCTCTAATGTTTTCAGTGGTAGCCGTAAATGAAGTAGGGAAGTTTTTAATAGAGAGTGTAATCGAATGGGCTTTTAGAAGTAAATATTCCTTTTTTTTAAATAAAGCTTAACTTGTGTGTGTGTGTGTGTGTGTGTGTGTGTGTGTGTGTAAGTACTCAGGCACGTGAGTGCTGGTATTCGCAGAGGCTAGAGGCATCTGCTCCTGCGGCTGTTTGAGCTGCCAGCTGTGGGCTCTGGAAATTCAGCTCTCATTCCCTATAAGAGCGGTACAAGTTCTGAACTACTGAGCCATCTTCTCAGCCTCGAGGTTGCTTGGTTTTTTATTCTAGCTGTTGCTGGCCCCCTATATGTATTGTGTGGAACTGTTTATGAGTTGAAGACAAAGGGCAGCCTCACGGTTCTTATTAAATAGTGAGTACCCCGATCAAAGTAAGCGTTTGGGGAGTTGGAGCTTGTGGTTTGAACCCACGTAGTCTCTGCAAAGCCTATGCAGTTACAGGAAGTGAGAGGGTGAGTAAAGTCCTGTGACAGAGCCAGAGCCACTCAGGAGCCATGAAGGTTGATATGGAAACAGTTGGAATCTTATGCTAACACAGACATGTGTTCTGTTGAACTAGAACATGTTCATAAGGGAATGTCATGTTATTAGATAGTGTGTTAACAGTGTGAGCCGTGGGTAACAGGACACTACCCTTGCCCTAAGGATTGTCTGAGGTCATGACTTCTTTCTTTCCTGGTTCTGAGTTATGTCACCTCAGTCATTGAGGTTAATGTTTTATGTTTGGTGTTGGTGTTGAACGTGAGCCTGTAAAATGTTACTCTATTGAAAATTCTCTGGTTTTGAATTATAGACGCAGGGATAGAGCCCATCGAGAGATCAAGAATATTTTCTATAAGGCCATCCAGAAACGCAGGCTGTCAGGAGAACCAGCTGAGGACATTCTTCAAACTTTACTAGATTCTACATACAAGTAAGAACTGTCAGATCACATGCTAAGCTGAAGCAAGAAATTATACATTAAAATGCAGAGTGCTGATATTTCCAGTTAAAACATAAAGGCAGTGGAACAGTAAATTGGTACTTGTAAATTGTTGCATCATGAGGCTCTGGGTCCTGATGCTGTGCTGTGATGCCAGCGGCTGGCATGGGGAATATTTGCAAAGAAACAAGAAGGAAGTCTTTTGTAATCAGTCATGCTTTCTCCTGGTTGGTCTCTTTCTTGGGAGGAGAGCCGGGGCACCGATTGCTATTGGTTAAGAAAAGTGACAATTACGTCTGGAAACTGTATTACTCTTAACTGTATCTGCCCAGATGTTAAGTGTGTGGTTCATCCCCAGGGACGGCCGTCCTCTGACAGATGACGAGATAGCGGGAATGCTCATCGGACTTCTGCTGGCCGGACAGCACACGTCCTCCACCACCAGTGCCTGGATGGGCTTCTTTCTGGCCAGAGATAAACCACTTCAAGACAAATGCTACTTAGAACAGAAAGCAGTGTGTGGCGAGAATCTGCCTCCCTTAACTTATGAGCAGGTTTGTCTCTAGGGCACAGTTTGAAGCTTCTGTTCATTCTACCTTCAGATATGTTTGTAGGAATTTTCTACAAGCTTAGATAAAAGAAAGAGCTGGACGCTCCTGCTTCCCTACAGTTGGTCAGGTGGTTTTGTACTGAGCCTCACAGCTCATAGCCCTTGTTGCTTCAGTGCATGACTTGAAGGTCTGGCCCCTGTACATGGAGAGAATCTTCTGAGGGCTGTGTTTCCTGCCGTGTAGGAGCCTCTATAACATGGGATTCTGGGTCCTGTATCCTCAGGTAGTAATGGTGGTCTAGGGACTAGAGATTGATGTATGCTCCACACAGCTTGCTGGGTAGAGAGCAAGTTATCCCTCTGTATAACCAGGCAGGTACTTCTGAAGCATACCCTGGTCTTGTCCTTTTCCTTTGAACTTTAGACTTTTAAGATTGTTGAGACTGCTATACACTGTGGGGACTTTGGAAGTTGGACTAAATATATTTTTATAAATATATTTTGTTTTGATGCTTTATTAAAATGGTATGTTACATTCAGATAACCCTGGGATAACACACAAGCACAGACACACACACACACACAAATGAGTGCACGCATATGCGCACAAATGTGTTTCTCTATTTTGTTTGCTAAACAAAATCATACATACGTATATAAACATATAGTAAAGAACATTGTCTTAGGGTTTTACTGCTGTGAAGAGACACCATGACCAAGACAAGTCTTATAAGGACAGCATTTAATTGGGCTGGTTTACAGGTTCAGAGGTTCAGTCCATTATCATCAAGGTGGAAGCATGGCAGCATCTAGGCAGGCATGGTGTAGGCAGAGCTGAGAGTTCTACATCTTCATCTGAAGGCTACTAGTGGAAGACTGACTTCCAGGCAGCTAGGAAGAGGTCTTATAGCCCACACCCACAGTGCCACACTTTCTAATAGTGCCATTCCCTGGGCCAAGCATATACAAATCATCACATTCCACTCCTTGGCCCACACAGGCTTTTTCAAACACATGAGTCTATGGGGGCCCTACCTAGCCATAGCATAATAAAAAAATATATTTAGTCCAACTTCCAAAGTCCCCACAGTGTATAGCAGTCGCAACAAAGTTAAAAGTCTAAAGTTCAAAGTGTCTTCTGAGATTCATCCAATCACTTAACTGTAATACCCAAAGCAAGACAGGAAATCGGCTGGGAAAACTCCAAACATGTCTGGTTTGGGAGTATTGCCTTTCTTTAGGCATACACCCTGACCCCTAGTGTCAGGGCATCATTTTTCTTCCCCTTTGCTCTTTTAATTTCTTGAAACACTTTTATTTAGTTATTACTTTTCTGTGACAAGGTTTACACCTTTTTTTGTTAAGGAATTTTTATGCTTTGCTTTTTTTATTTATTGTGTGTGGCGTATGCACACATGTGCCATGGTACACTGTTAGCAATTAGATGGCATAGAAAAGTTGGTTTTCTCCACTGTATGGGGTCCGGGGATTGAACTCAGGTCCTCAAGCTTGTCAGCAAGTGCCTTTTCCCGCTGAGCCATCTTACCAGACCTTAAGGATTCTTTTTCCATTGATTCTCATAATGGTTCAAATCTTCTCTTGATCTACTCCAGTGAAAATTTCATTTATATCTTCCAGTTCCAGGATTTCTATATTTTTAATAATCTATTATTCTCTGTCTGGTGAGGTACTGTCATGTTGTTTCATACTCGAATTCTTTAGGCCTCATTTTCTTTTTGTTCTTTGAAGGTCTTTATACGGGTCTGTTTAAATTGATCTAGTAAGTTGAAAGTTCAGTGTCTGTCCTTCTTGGAGGGTGTGGTCGTGGCCACCCATTCCCTTCTGTAGGTTCCATGATGTCAGCTCCACAAACCCTGGAGATGCATGTCTGGCCCCTTGAGGTCACTGGCTAGTTGCTGAGACTGAAGGAGAAGGAGAGGGAAGGTCGACAGAAAGGTAGCCAGCAGGGAAAATGTACATGGCCTGTGTGCTTTCAAATGCCTCTTGACTGCTGTGCTGTTGTTGACTTCTGTTCTTTCCTTTTATTACTAAATTTAAATGCCCTGAAAAGGAGCTAGTTGCTCTAGCTTTAAAAAAAAAAAAAAAGTCTAATTCAGGGACAGTTCCACTAAGCTCCCTTTTGTTCCTTGTATGAGCTCCATTTCTTATTTTCCTTTTGTAAATTTTCTAATATTTTTGTTGAACTTGCTACATTTGCACAACAGTGGCAACACTGGAAATGAGATTTCTTGCCGCTGGGTTGGCCTTGGCTGAAGATGTCTGTAAGTCTGTGCTTCTTCGTGTGTTCAGTGACTTTCATAAACAGGGTTATAGGAAGTCATGTTCATCTGTATTCACTGAACTCTGTTAGCTCCGTGGCCACTGAATGCTTAGATACATCTTAAATTGTTTTGTTTTGTTTAAAACATCATCTCAGTATGTTACTCTGGCTGACCTGGAACTCTCTGTATAAACCGGTAGGGCTTTGAACTAATGGTGATCGGCCTGCCTCTGGGATTAAAGACACTGCCATGCATGGGCCTATCAGTAGAGATTTCTTAAACTCTCCTGAACTCTTAGGCTTTGCTGAGGAGCGTTGCATGTTCAGGGCATTTTATCAACAGTCTCTCAAGCAGTTACAACCTGGCCTCAGCCTTTTTCTTTCGTGTGTTGGTCAGTCACCGATGAGAGATTGGGTCTCTGTCCCATCTTACGTTTAATGTTGTAGCTCTCCTGCACATGCATGGGGCTTTGTCAGAACCCTTCAGAGTCTCCTGTAGACATCTCATTTTTATTTCCCAGGTTTGTTTAAGCATCTTGTTTTATCTCTTAAGTGTATCACCACCTCAGGTACTTACAATGTTAAATGCTCTTCTGCTGGATATTTCTTTTTGTTGTTGTTGTTTCGATACAAGTTCTCAGTGTAGCCCAGGCTGTCTCAGCCTCCTGAGTTTGGGAGGGAAGTGCCACTCTATCAGGCCTTTCTTGGCATATCTGCTCTGCAGTCAGGCTGCTGGAATTGCCATCCCTTTGCATCCCAGGTTCTCTCAGTCTGCAGCGGTATGAGTTTTAGTTACATCCTAAAGCTTGCTTTTCTCCCCATGATGCAGGATTTCTTCTTGAGTGAACGCTTGGTACATTACTATAAGCCTTCATCTAATTTATCAAAGTTTTGAGAAAGTTGACACAGGTTTTTCATAGTATCTTTTTTTTTTTTTTACCCTTTTCCCTCTCACTTTGGCCCCGCTCGCTCCTGCCCAAAGGTTTTTATTTATTTATTATATGTAAGTACACTGTAGCTGTCTTCAGACACCCCATAAAAGGGCATCAGATCTCCTTATGGATGGTTGTGAGCCACCATGTAGTTGCTGGGAATTGAACTCATGACCTCTGGAAAAGCAGTGCTCTTAACCCCTGAGCCATGTCACCAGCGCTTACAGTGTCCGTTTTTGAAAGAGTGAATTTTATTCATCTTTAACCATCCAGTTGACCCTCTCTCTTCCCGTGATCTTGGCTCCGTCTTTTCCTTTGTTGTCCATGACAGTGATAAAACATGGCCTTCCCAGCAGCATGAACTGGTTCCCGCCGCCCTTTATTATCACACTAAGTAGGAAATTAAACTATTCCCTCCTTCTGTTGAGGTCTGGTGAATATTTGTTGGGGTCAATACCAGAAATAATCTTGCTCATTTTTCTTGGTTTTAGTTGAAGGATCTGAATTTACTTGATAGATGCATAAAAGAGACACTAAGACTGAGGCCTCCTATAATGACCATGATGAGAATGGCCAAGACCCCTCAGGTGAGTCTCTTGTTGAGATTTCCCCTTCTGGGACCCAGTTTAAGAGAGAATGTTTTAAGTTATAAAAGTAAAAGCCATTGTCATTGTGAATGTATGATAATTATTACATAATTATAGATATTCAATATGTAAATCTAATGCTAATAATGTTTTTATTTTCATTTAACAATTGTAGTGTTTAAAAGTTGAGATACTTATCTCCTTCAGGGCCCACAATCCTTCTTCCTGTTCTTCCATAAGAGTCCCCAAGCTCTATCCACTGTTTGGCTGTGGGTGTCTGTACCTGTCTGAGTCAGCTGCTGGGTGGAGTTGACAGAGTCAACTAACCTGGACCCTTGGGGCTCTCAGAGAACATACCCAGGCTGGACCTAGGCCTCCCCACACATATGTATCACATGTGCAGCTTGGTCTTCATGTGGGTCCCAAACAACTGGAGTGTGGGCTATCCCAAAAGCTGTTGCTGGACTACCTCCTCTGGCCTCGGTGGGAGAGGATGTACTTAGCCTTACGGAGACTTGAAGTGTTAGGGTGGGAGGATACTCAGGGGTCCCCACCTCCTCAGAGGAGAAGGGGAAGGGGGAATGGGGAAGGATTGTGGGAGGGGGTGGCCAGGAAGCGGGCAGTGAGCAGGATATAAAGTGAATAAGTAAAAGAAAAAAAATACACAAAGCTCCTCTTCTCCTCTGTTGATTAAGAACGTCACCTCCAAGCATTGCTCCCGTGGGAAGGTGCCTGCCCACAGCTTGCTTTCTTGAAGTCTCCCCCATAGTGTAAGAGAGAGGAGCATGTTACAGCCTGGCCTGAGCTTGTATGTACAAATTGGCTTTAAAATCTTGCTTTGTTTAAAAAAAAAACCTTAGAGGTATATTTCTTGGCTTTAAACACAATGTGGTAGTTAGCAAAAAGTATATGAATTATATAAGTCAGATTATGAAAGAATAGAATTATTATTAATTCTATTCTGCCTTTAGCAGGGTTTATGAATATACTTCTAGTTCACTGTTGGTCCACTTGAAAATCACTGAGTGAAGATAATTTTAGTTGGTTTACCATCTAGACAGTTCTTAAACCTACATATAGTTCACACTGACACTGATTGATGCCTTGTTTTTGGTAATGTAGTGAAAAATTCTCTAGTGAAAAGTGTTCTCTCTCACTTTGCAGACTGTGGCAGGGTACACCATTCCTCCAGGACACCAGGTGTGTGTTTCTCCTACTGTCAATCAAAGACTGAAAGACTCCTGGGTAGAACGCTTGGACTTTAATCCTGACCGCTACTTACAGGATAACCCAGCATCAGGAGAGAAGTTTGCCTATGTGCCATTTGGAGCTGGTAAGATGGTTGACTGCATTTTACGTTGAAATGTTTGCCTCTGTAATACATCTGTCCTTCAGTAAACCACCCTGGAATTCATCTGAGAGAGAGAGAGAGAGAGAGAGAGAGAGAGAGAGAGAGAGAGAGAGAGAGAGAGAGAGAGAGAGAGAGAAAGAGAGG